CTCCTCCTCCTCCTCCTCCTCCTCCCCATAGGTGATATACAGTTTTTTTGTGTTGCAGGGAGAGCTGGTTGGTTGGTTGGTTGGCGGGGGGGGGGGTCCGCACGGGGCGGCAGGTCCGGGTTGCGCGAAAGGGGGGAGCCTGGGAGAGGAACCGGGGGTGACGGGGTCGCAGTCCTGGGGTGTACCTTGTTGTTGTTGTTGTCGTCGTCGTCGTCGTCGTCGCCGTCGTCGTCGTCGTCGTCGTCGTCGTTGTTGTTGAACATTATTTATTCTAAAGAATAATTATTGTTGGGCCCCCTGGTGCGCGCCCCCCCTGCGCCGCCTAGGCCGCAGCTACATTTTCATCATTTTCGTGAGGAAGCCTCAGAAAAGAGGGTGTGTACAGGATCCGGTTGTTTTGTTGTAATCCGCTTTCCCTTGCAAAAAACAATAGAAAATGACATTTCTTGTTCTAATATAATCAAATTTCAAGAATCCCTTGCAAAAAATAAGGTAAAGTGGACATTCGCGCGCGCAAGACGAAATCCTTCCAAAACCTTAGTGTTCGCAGCGATTTTAACATAAAAACATCAAAAAACCAATGGTTTTTCAACAAACAAATTGTCAAAATCTCATCCCGCGCGCTCTTGCGGATTCGTAGGAAACCCAACACTTTTTAAACATTTCTGTCAAACGGGCTTTTGCGAGCAACTTTTTGAACTTCTGCGACAACGGTTGCGCACCTGCCAGGGCCATCATCCCTGTCAAATAATACCATGCGGGACACATTCGTTTTTTCTTCGCGCGCGCACGCCGTCGTCGTCGGCCGCGGGGCCCTGAATAGTAGCCACGGTCGTCCGCATGCCACGAAGTGAAGTGTCCGAACGTCATAGGGCGGGAAGCTGGGTGTGGGTGGTGGCGAAGAGTCGTTTGGAAATTTGGTAGAGCTTGAACCGGCCCCCCCACAAAGTGGGGGTATTGCCCGCCTCCTATGAAAACCCTGGCACTGGTGAGAACGGTGTGTCCCCACGTGCTAGTAATTGTTGTTGTTGTTGTTGTTGTTGTTGTTGTTGTTGTTGTTGTTGTTGTTGTTGTTGTTGTTGTTGTTGTTGTTGTTGTTGTTGAGTTCTCATTTCTGAAGAATAATTATTGTTGATCCCCCCCACCGGTGCATATTGTTTTTTCTCAATCAAAGTGTGCCCCTCGACGCTCGCACCCTGTTTTTTGACAGGGGAAGTCTTGATGCTCAAACTGGGCCCGTGGCCCCCGGGTTACAACAACAACGGCTCCCGCTTTAGACTTCCTCACAATTTAGCCAGGACCCCCGCTCCCGCCCGAGACTTCCTCGCATCTTATTCAGGAATCGCGCTCTCGCTTGGGACTTCCTTAGAATTTATCCAGGAATCGCTTTCCGGGCGCTCTGGAGTCGCGCTCTCGCTGGAGATTTGCTCGCAATTTACTGAAGAATAGCGCCATTGCGTTGGAATTTCTTGCAATTTGCTCAAGCGCCGCGCTCCCGACACCCAGGCACCCAGGAGTCGCGCCCGTTGTGGCCCCATGTGCATGCCTTTCGTGGCCCCGCTGTCGCCGTTTGTGGCCCCCTCATTGTCCTACGTGGCCCAGTTGCTACCTTCAGTGGCCCCATCGTTGCCTTCTGTGGCCCCGCATTATCTGCCCTTCGTGGCCCCCGCTCGTTCGCGCTCTTCGTGGCCCCATACGCATTCCCTTCGTGTCCCCGCTGTCGCCCTTCGTGGCCTACTTCGTGTCCTTCGTGGCCCTGCTGTCGTTCTCTCTCGCTCTCGCTTTCGCTCGTCGTCGCCGTCTCGTCGCGTCGGTCGTCTTCGGTCGTCGTCGTCGTCGTCGTCGTCGTCGTCGTCGTGGTCGGTCCCCTGTCCGTCCCTCTTGGGGTCGGGTCGACGGTCCGCGGCCGCCCCGCCGATCAGCGCTGCCGCTGGCCAGGCCGACGGTCCACGGCCGCCCCGCCGCTTGCTGGGGCCCGGCCTGCAGGGAAGAAAAATGTACCCTCCAAAGGGGTTCGATCGAAGACGATGAGGGCGGGTATCGAGGGTATGGGAAATACGTGTTATTGGGGACAACGGGCAGATGAGGGATGGGGCGAGACGGTCTTTAAAAATGGTTGTTGTTGTTGTGTGTTGTGTTGTTGTTGTTGTTGATTGTTGTTGTTGTTGTTGTTGTTGTGTTTTTGTTGTTTGTTGTTTGTTGTTTCGTACGTCCCACCCGCGACACGCCCTGCGACCCAACCCGCGACCCACCCGTCGACCAACCCGCGACCCACCCGCGAACCCCACCCGCGACCACCCGGCGACCCACCCCGCGACCCCACCCGCGACCCACCCCCAGACCCACCTCAGCGACCCACCCGGCGACCCACCACGCGAACCCACCGCTGACCACCCGGACCCAACGCGACCCACCCGGCGGACCCGCCAGCGACCACCGAGACCCCCCCAAGCGACCCACCGGCGACCCACCCGCGACCCACCCGCGACCCGCCCCGCGACCCACCCGCGACCCAGAGGCGACCCACCCGCGACCCACCGCGACCCACCCGCGACCCACCTGCGACCCACCCCGCGACCCACCCAAAATTTGTGGCGCCTGCGGCGGGTTTCTTTTGCATTCGTTCCAGGTGGAGAACCTGCGACCCACCCGCGACCCAAACCGCGCCCGCGACCCACCCGCGACCCACCGCGAGCCACCCGCGAGCCACCCGCGACCCACCCCGCGACCCACCCAAAATTTTCGGCGCCTGCGGCGGGCTTCTTTTGCAGTCGTTCCAGCTGGAGAACCTGCGACCCACCCGCGACCCAAACCGCGTTCAGTGTAAATTACCGGCGCCCGCGGCGGGCTATTTTTGAATCCCTTCCAGGTGGAGGTGGAGAGCCCGCGACCCACCCGAGACCCAAAGTACGTTCACTGAACAAGCCAAAACTTCGGCGTTTGCGGCGGGTTTCTTTTGCATTCGTTCCAGGTGGAGAACCTGCGCGACCCAATACGTTCACTGAACGTTCAATGTGCAAATCAAAATTTTCGGCGCCTGCGGCGGGCTGTTTTTGAATTCCTTCCAGGTGGAGGTGGAGACCCCGCGACCCACCCGCGACCCAAACTACGTTCACTGAACAAACCAAAAATTCGGCGCCTGCGGCGGGCTGTTTTTGCAGTCGTTCCGGGTGGCCCACCAGCGATCCCCCCCGCGCTGAATTGATCAGAGCACGCAATTCGGCGCCTGCGGCGGGCTTGCTCGCATTGGTTTGGGAAAGCGCCCTCGTGCCATTCCCCCGATCCGGCCCACGTTGACCCTACAACAGCACATTGGCGCCTGCGGCGGGGCTGGAGGAGGGGGAGGAGGAGAGAAAGGAGGGAGGAGGAGGGGGAGGAGGAGGAGGAGGACGACGACGACGGAAAGGAGGAGGGGGGAGGATCGGATGGGGAGGAAGAGGAGGAGGAGGAGAGGAAGAGAGGAGGAGGAGGAGGAGGAGGAGGGGATGAGGAGGAGGAGGAGGGAGGAAGAGGAGGAAGAGGAGGAGGTGGAGGAGGACGAGGGTGAGGAGGAGGCAGACGACGACGACGACGACGACGACGACGTCGACGACGACGATGAGGACGAGGACGCGGACGAGGAAGAGGGGGAGGAGGAGCAGGAGGAGGAGGAGGAGGAGGAGGAGGAGGAGGAGGAGGAGGAGGGCGCCATCGACAGGGAAGGTGAGGGCCACGAGGTGCGCCGGCTCGACGCCCGCGTCGCCCGCGCCCGCCCCCTCACTCTTATCCGCAATTGCGGGGTGCTGCGTACATTACATATAGTGAGTTCCTGATTATCCTATGTGTTGTTTGTTGCTCTGCTGTGGCTTTGCTTTGCCAGCCGTTCCCGCGGCTGTCCGCCTGAGGCATTTCAGTCATGGCGAGGGGTGTGTCTGACTGTCTCCAGCACGTCGTGCGCGGCATGTAAAGCTCATGCTGCAATGGATCAACGTATCTTACACCGCATATGTTATTACCGTGCCGTCGCCCATCCCCCCCTATTGCTAGGCGCCAAGTGCTTACGGTTGAAGCGTGTAGTTCCTGGGCTGCAGCCGTCATTTTTTCGATCACCTCTCTGACGAGCCTTGGCACTCTTCACCAAACTCTTAGTCTGTTCCCGACTTTCACTGTGTTCTCACGCGCGATTGGGCCGTGCTCCCTTTCTGCCCGAAATGGTGGATGGGGAGGGAGTAGGGCGCATCGGCGTGCGCGATGTGCGTCATGCAAGGCCTGCGCCATGCCAGTGATCTTCGCCACTGTGGAGGAGGCCCTTGGGGACCTGGCTAACCTCAAGAGGGGCGAGAGGGTTCTGATCCATGCGGCTGCTGGGGGAATCGGGCTCGTGGCCATCCAATACGCCAAGCACGTGGGCGCCGAGATCTACGCGACGGCCGGCGCGGAGGAGAAGCACGAGTACCTCCGGAGCCTCGGCGTGAAGCACATCACCAGCAGCCGCGACGGCAAGCGCTTCGAGGCAGACATGCGGGGCTTCCTGGACGAGGCCGGTGCAGACGGTGTGGACGTGGTGCTCAACAGCTTGAGCCACGACGACTACATACACCGCTCCCTGCGCCTCCTGCGCCCGGGCGGGCGCTTCATGGAGATCGGGAAGCGCGGCGTCCTCAGCCACGCGGAGGCGAGGGAGGCACGGCCCGACGTCGCGTACGACAAGATCGTCACCGACCACATGATGGAGATGGAGGCTGGTCCTACAGTGGCTACCTGGAGCGTCATCGTCAACAGCATCAATATCATCAGCATCAATCATCATCAGCATCAGCATCAGCATCATCATCACCAACAGCATCATCATCAGCATCATCATCAGCATCAGCATCAGCACCAGCATCACCATCATCTCAACCATCATCATGGCCATTATAATAATCATCATCATCATCATCATCATCATTACCATCATCATCACCATCACCATCATCATCATCATTTCAATCATCATCCTCATCAGCAACAGCATCATCATCACCACCATCAGCATCAGCATCAGCATCAGCATCAGCATCAGCATCAGCGTCAGCATCAGCATCAGCATCATCATCACCACCACCATCATCATCATTATCATCATTACCATCATCATTACCATCGTCATCACCATTATCTACAGCATCATCATAATCACCATCACCATCACCATCACCATCACCATCACCATCACCATCACCATCACCATCACCATCACCATCACCATCACCATCACCATCACCATCACCATCACCATCACCATCACCATCACCATCACCATCACCATCACCATCACCATCACCATCACCATCACCATCACCATCACCAACACCATCACCAACACCAACACCAACACCAACACCACCACCATCATCATCATCAGCATCATCATCGTGATCACCATCATCATCAGCATCATCATCATCACCATCATCATCATCACCAGCATCATTATCAACAACAACAGCACCAACAGCATCAACATCAATCATCGTCATCATCACCATCACCATCACCAACACCACCACCACCATCATCAGCACCATCAGCATCAGCATCATCATCGTCATCATCATCGTCATCATCATCAGCATCATCATTAGCATCAACGTCATCATCACCACCAACAGCAGCATCGTCATCAGCATCATCATCAGCAGCATCATCATCATCACCATCGTCGATGGAGGCCTGGACCTACAACGGCTACCTGGGGCGCTTGTTGTCGCGTGTCGAGGATCGGGTTGCTCCCGAAATTCTTCCCCCCCCCCGCCTGGGCCTCCTGCAGTGGACCGGTCGAAGCATGAGAAGGCCTGGGGATCCTGAGGGCTTCAGGGGCAATGCTGGGGCGCCACGGGGGGGAGTGGCTCAGAGGGGCATGCATCGACACCCAATCGCCCATTCCTCGCCGCTCGGGCCAGCTGGCCTGCCCGGCCCGGGAACGTGAGGTTTCGCTGTTGGGGGGCCTGTCGCCGGCCCCCCCCCCAAATCTCCCAGGGGTCCTGCGTCCTGATCCCCCGTCCCGAGAACATGTTTTGACCGCATCGTTCGCCCTCCCCAGAACGCTGACGTCGTGGGCTACTCGCCCCGCCGCCCAAACAACATCTCCCAAGCTCGGCCTCCAGGGGTCCTGCGTCCTGACCGCCCGTCCTGAATACGCGTTTTGACTGCATCGTTTCCCCTCCCCCGAACGCTGACGTCGTGGGCTGATGGCTTCTCTTCCTCCTCCTCCTCCTCCTCCTCCTCCTCCTCCTCCTCCTCCTCTCTTTTTAAACATTCGCAAGGGTTGCACGGATTTTCATGGTCAATGGGCCAGAGAGGGCGCAACAGTTATGTTGATTCGCGGTGTTGAAGTCACAGGAACGGTGTTCTGACACGATTCTGGATCGCCAAGACGCAGCAGTCACGTTGATTCGTAGCGTGGAAGTTCCGAGGATGGTGTTTTGGCACGCTTCAGGGTCTTCAAACGGTTGTCTCCCAATGAGGCGGATCCCTCAGTGGAGATGAACCCTTGAGGGGATATATGAAAGGGATCTTGGAGGGCGGGTGTATTCTAGCATCGTTGAAGAGTCTTCGGTTTACACTGGTCCTTCTCCTCCTCCTCCTCCTCCTCCACCTCCTCCTCCTCCTCCTCCTTGGCGGGGGTGCTCTTGCGCCGCAGGAATAGTATCACATCCGACGCCGCCGCGTCATGGTCCGAGGACTCGGGGAGCGGTGGATGTGGACATCTGCCCACCCACGCGGGCGGGCAAATATCCATATCCACTGCTCCTCGAGATCTCAGGGCACAGCTCCGAAGCAGCGGGTATGGTCAGGTTCTGGCGGTGGCCTGCACCGCCCCCTGCCCGCCCGTCTCCCCCCCCCCTGGGCCGCCCGGTCCGGTCCCTGGCCCTGAGCGCTTCTTGGGGCACCAGTCGGGGGCGGCCAGGAGGGGGGGGGATGACGAGGGGGGGTGGATAGCGTGGCGGGGGCCATGAGATCTCCCCAGATTTCATTGCGCCCCGTGCTGTTTCACTGCGTTCCCGCCCCCTGGCACCCCCCTGGCTGGACGCCCCCCTCTGGCCCGTGCCCGAACTAGTCTGGGCCTCCCAGATGGGGTCCGAGCAGATGGGGTCGGGGGATCGTGCCGCCGATGCATCGCCGATGCATCGTCGATGCGGCTCGATGTGGAGCCTGGTTTTCTCCACGGAGACGGCGCCGATGCATCGGCGATGTATCGGCGATGTATCGCCGATGCGGCGCGATCCTCCGACCCCATCGAATCGGACCCCATCTAGGAGGCCTCTAACTAGGGGGTGGGGCCTGGCGACCATGCTCGGCGGCGAGATCCGAACTGCGAAATCCGAACCCTACCGCCGCATCCCATGGGTTGGGAAGAATCGATGGTTGGTGCGGGTGTGGTTCGGATGTTGCCGCCTACATGCGGTGTGCGGGGTCCATTCCGATCCGATCGATCCGATTCGTTTTCTGATTCTGGCCAGCCCGATGCGTTTCGATTCCGATTTTCCGACGATCCGATGCGGCGCGATAACTGCACGGCGTCGCTGTGCATCCCGGCGTAGCCGAGTCGATCCGATTCCGACTCCGTGCCGCGATGCACATCTGGATTCCGTCCGGCTTCCCGAGGCGATTTTGCCTGATCCTGGCGTGTGGTTCCGCATACGGCAGGTTCGTGTGTTGTCGACTGGCGGCGACCCCGCTAGCGGCGTTCCACGCTGAACGCCGCGGGCGACCCAGAATCGTTCGATGTGGAACGATTTGGACTTATCGGACACGGCCCATCTTTCAAGGTGGAACGATCCCCGCGGTGTCAGAAACTCGACGATCCTCAGGACGTGTGTTAGCACATTGTGTGTTTACCCCGTTCAACCCAACGAGTCGATCATCACATCGCCTTCGTCGTAGTGAAGGGCCTCAGTGGGCAACACACACACACACACACGCTGGCGCTACTAACACACGATCTGAGGATCATCGAGAAACCAAGGCCGAAGTCGGCACGACACGAACCTGACGTCACCTCTCGCCACCTCTCGCTGCCACAACAAAAACACACGACGGGAGGTCTGGGCAAGTTATCGGCCCCCCCCAGGGGGCCCCTCGCCGGGCCGGCCCCCCCCCCTTGGGCCGCCAACAACAGACACGGCTCGGGGCGACAGGCGCCGCTCTCCGTGGGGCGGGGTCCGGAGCTCCAGGGGTCCACGTCGTGAGCAACAAAGCACGACGCCGTGCGGGGAAGGCGCCTGGGCACCACCACCAGGCCTGGCCAGGGCCCCTCGCCGGGCCCCTCGCCGGGCCCCCCCCCGAGCCGTCGAAAACGACTCGGGGCGAAGGGCCCCCCCGGGGGCGGGGTCCAGAGAGCTCCAGGGGTCCACGCCGTGCGCAAAAGTAGGGGGCCCCATGCGAACCCTACCCCTACCCCCCCCGCGGTTTCTGAGGGGGAGGGTGCGGTAGGTTTCGCATGTGGCCCCCTCAAAAGATCCCGACGTCGTGCTGGGAAGGCGCCTGGGGCACCACCACCAGGCCTGGCCAGGGCAACCCCTGGGGCCCCAGGAGGGTGCTGCACGAGCTCTCCTGGCCTCGGCGAGGCGGGCGTGGGCATAACCGCATGCCGATGATAATAAAGGGACCCCCCCCCCCCCCTTCAGTGTTTAGAGTTGATTATCGTCGCCCTATACAAAATTCAAATTGGGCGGCGAGCGCTGAGGCCGAACTTCATTATCACCTCGAAACGCTATGTTGAGATAGCAACATCAAGCGATGTTGATATAGCAACATCAAGCGAAGCGATCACACTTTTTCAGGATGTGTCAAGCGAAACCAATAATTTTGGGAGGCAGACTCAAACGAAACGAGCAATGTTCTTATTATTCTTCTACTTTCCTCTTCTTCTTTTATATTTCTATCTGTCCTCACGCTCGCCTGAACTTTTTTATCCCTGGGGTTGATTATCCATGGAAAATGAAGCACATGAGCTACCCTACACGAGCACTTAAAAAATCAATTTTCATAAAGCGTTTGTAAATTAAAATTGATAGATTTGGAACTTTGGATTTTTCCTTTCTTCGTCCTCTTCTTATTCTCCTCTTCTTCTTCTTTCTTATTATTCTTCTACTGTATTCTTCTTCTTTTATATTTCTCTCTGTCCCCACGCTCGCCTGAACTTTTTTATCTCTGGGGTTGATTATCCATGGAAATTGAGGCACATGAGCTACCCTACACGAGCACTTACAAAAAACAATTTTCATGAGATATAAGCCATTGTTGAGGATATTTCTATCAAAACTAAACGCCAAGGATGTCTCAAAACGTGCTCGGCTTGGTCTCCTCTTGATCATCTCTTACTTCGAGATTATGCTGAGGTCTGCTGGGCTACTTTTATTATCTCTCCCTGAACCCCGAACTTTATTATCCCCTAGTGTTTATTCTCACGGGCATGAGGTTATCCCGTAGAAGCAAAAATGCAGCCCCCTGACCCCAATAGCACAATGACTGCGTGGCCTAGCTTTCAGTCGGGCGCGTCCCTCTACAGGAGGAGCATTCAACAATAGTTCAGAAATAGTCTGGGGACGATGTTGATTTTTCCCCCAAGATCCGCCTGTAGGGTGACATGCCCGACCTAACCCCAACAGCACAAGGTCTGCGTGGCCCAGCTTAACTACACTGGGGCCCATGCCAAGAAAGCCCCTGCTTGCCTCCAGGGTGCCATGGGTTTCTCGGGTTTCGATGGTCTTGCGATGGAAGGCGCGACATTCCCACACCAAAAACCAATGGACGTCCTGGGGTCTCAGGGTTGGATTTCTTGTGGAAGGTTTCTTGTGGACGGGCCTCCACTGTAGGTCCACGGGGTTTTGGGATACCCCTCAACGAACGGGTGGCTTCGCCTGGCTACGTCTGCGAACGAGATCCCTCATCCCTTTCAGGTCGTGGCCCTCCGAGCGTATCTCTCCTCCCACAGGGTGAGCGGCAGATGTATGGCTCGTCACTACTAAGATGGGCACGGGGGTTGCTAAGGGGATAGGGGGCTTATCAGTGGAGGCCAAGGTGGGTTATACCTGGCCTAACCTTGCTCATTAGTGGGTTGCTAATGCCCCAAGTGGCTTTGGGAGGATAGCGATCCAGGCGAAGTGGGCTCCGCCCACTTAGCGGAGTTGTCCAATCCCCCCAGACCATTTCGGGCGTGTGTGTCACCTCTAAGCTAGGTCAGGTCAGGTGCACCCCACCCTGGCGTCCACGGATCACCTCCCCTGTCAGCTTAGCAGCCTCCGCGCCTATCTCAGTAGGGGGGTTGGGGCAGGGGGGCACCCAGGCATCCCACGATGTGACGTCTCCGCCCCCGACCGCCTCCCCGGGGAGGGGGGGGGGCAGCTCTGCGCCGCTGGATCTGCTTCCGAGGGCCCGCGGCCGGCAGGCCCTCTGACCTGCTGGGCCCTCAGAAGCCGACACGTCGCGAAAGAAAACCGCCCAGACGGAGAGCTTCGGCGTCACCCCAACATACTTGTACTATATGTGCGTAGCCCCCATACAGGAGGATTGAGGATGAGGAGGATCGAGGAGAATAGAGGAGGAGGAGGAGGAGGAGGAGGAGGAGGAGGAGGAGGAGGAGGGAGGAGGAGGAGGAGGAGGAGGAGGAGGAGGAGGAGGGAGGAGGAGGAGGAGGAGGAGGAGGAGGAGGAGGAGGGAGGAGGAGGAGGAGGAGGAGGCAGGAGTGGGAGCAGGACCCAGGATGAGGAGGAGCATCGGCGTCACCCCAACATTCTGACACTCTGTGCGCGTCGCACCCCCAGGGGCGACGCGCGCACCGAGAAATCTTACAGCATAATTATGCGTCGTGGCGGGCGCTTTCTGGCCACGCCGCTCGGGAAGCGATCTACTACAAGGTGGGTACACTATATGTTCGGGTCGGACGCGCGCCTCCAAGGAGGACATACAGTTTTCGTGTGTCTCTGTGCGTCCCAGAGAGCATCGGATCGTCGCTGGAGTCCGCGCACTGGCAGGCAGGCGTGCAGGCGGCCCGGAGTCGGGCGCGACTGTGATAGACCTCGAGCATCATTTGTTGGTGCTCGAGTGAAAAGCGCGAATTCGTATTCTGGCTGAAGAAAATCGTTGTGCAATGACGCCTCTGGCCAATCTGATCCACAGGAATCTGGCCGCGTAATGGAGGGGCGACGAATGGGGGGGGGACAGCGAGGGCTGCAGAAAAGGGGCCCTTGAGGGCCCCTGCAGGGGTCCTTGAGGGCCCAAGAGGGGTTCCTTCGGGTCCGAAAAAGGGCATATTTCTTCTTTCCCCACTTATCGCCCCCCCCCCCCCCCGCACACTGATTCGCGCCCGACGTCGGAGATCGGGGGGGAGGGGGGCTTGGCGACGGACTGCACGATGATTCGAGTAGGGGATCGACTACATAATCGATTTACCCCAGAATTGAACTTCCTCGTCGAATCTGCAAAGAAGAAGACGTCGCATTTTTCGTGGACGGAAAAACGTTTTGGGGTACATCAATTCTGTAGTCGATCCCGTACTCGAAGGAGGGCGGCCTCGCGCCGATCAACCTGCACGTCTTCCAGGGCCTGGGGGAGGGCGTGCGGGCCCTGCAGTTCCTGCAGCGGGCGCAGAACATCGGCAAGGTGGTGGTCAGCGAGCCCAGCCGGATGCTGTGCACGCCCAGCGCGACGCAGGCGCGCCGGGACTCGAAGGAGCCCAGGACTGCTCGGGCGGGGTGCGGGCGGGCGGGGTCGGAGGGCATCGCGCCCCTGGGCCTCCTGGGCCTCCGTCGTCGCCACCGCTGGATTCGCTTCGAGATCTTGGTCAGAACGCACCCCAGGAGAGGTCCAGGGAGTAGCCGTATGGGTACCTTCTGGTTTCTCCATTTTTCGTACGGGAAGAAGGGGGGAGGGGTCGTCGGACGGGAACGGCGGGGGGGGGGCCTTCGGACGGGAAAAGGGGGGGGGGGAAGCCTTCGGACGGGAAGTGGGGAGGGGGTCCTCGGACGGGAGGGGCCCCCTCCCCGGGCGAGAGCTCCCCCTCCCCTGCTCGCCCACCCCCGTCGCGCTGCCCGTCCGCCCTGCCCCCGCTCCTCCGGGCGGCGGAGGGAGGAGGGAGGGGGGAGGGGGGCAGGGGAGGAGCCCAGGACGACCTGCCCCCGCGGGGTGCGGGCGGGCGGGGTCGGAGGGCATCGCGCCGCTTTGCCGAGATGCCATCGGCGGTGCGGCTCGATATGCCCAGACAGCCCGCGCCTCGAGCAAGAGTCGAGGCGGAGGTTCTTCACCGGAAAGCGGCATACACACAAACTGCTGGCGCCCCGCGCGTTTTTTTTTGGATCCGCACTGGGGGCCCCTGGCGGCGCCTCCAGCGTCGCCCCTGGCGCGCTCCGCGCGCCAAGGAGGGGGGCCTGGCGCAGATCCAAGAACTCCGCGCGGACCTCCAAAAGTTCTTGTTTATGCCGTTTTCTCTTCCTCTACTCAGAACCCTTGCCAGGCCTCGGGGCCGTCCAAGAACGGCTCGGGAGGAAGAGCTGGTCCCGGGGAAGGCGGCCGAGAGGTGCGGAGCACGGGCCTCGGAACAAAAACCAAGACGCCGACGTCGCCAGTGCATCGCCAATGCGTCGGTGATACATCGGCGAGTGGCTCATTTGCTTGGGTCGGGGGCGCTCGCCCGCAAGCATTTGAGTTTTCAGACCCCACGGCGGCATCGGTGCCGCCGTGTTGAGGCTCTCCTCGAGCTCCAGATGCTGGAAGGTGTGTTCGACCCCGCCCATGAACAACGACAGCGAGACTGACAAAATCAGCCTGGCGAAGAACCCAACCATATGCAGTTGTCAGTACCGCAGCTGCGGGTTTCATCTTCAATGGAACTCCCCATAGGACTACGGAACGTGTGAGGGGTGTGCCGAGATGGGTGCCACTGGGGCATTCGGCGAAGCTCCCTATGGGGACATGAAACACGCGCGGGGCGTGCCGACATGGGTGGCGGAAACGCATGTGCAGGCCGCCACTGGGGCCTCCAGTGGAGCTCCCTATGGGTCCCCGAAACATGATGCTGCTGCGGGGGGGGGGGCGGGATGGGTGGCGGAGACGCATGTAAGCGCCGCTACTGGGGCCTTCGGTGGAGCTCCCTATGGGGCCACGAAGCGCGTGAGGGGTGTACTGGGATGTGTGGCGGGGACGCATGTGAGCGCCGCCACTGGGGCCTTCGGTGCAGCTCTCTATGGGGCCACGAAACGTGTGAGGGGTGTGCCGAATTGGGTGCGGGTGGTGACGCATGCAGGCGGTGCCACTGGGGCCTTCGGTGGAGCTCCCTATGGGGCCACGAAACCTGTTGTTGTGAGGGGCGTGCTGGGATGGGTGGCGGGGACGCATGTGAGCGCGGCCGCTGGAGCCTTCGGTGGAGCTCCCTATGGGGCCACGAAACGTGTGAGGGGTGTGCCGAATTGGGTGGGTGTGGGTGACGCATGTGAGCGCCGCCACTGGGGCCTCCGGTGGATGGGGCCACGAAACCTGTCAGGGATGTGCCCAAATGGGTGTGCGGGACGCATGCGCATGTGAGCGCCGCCACTGGGGCCTTCGGTGGAGCTCCCTATGGGGCCACGAAACGTGTGAGGGGTGTGCCGAATTGGGCGTGCGGGGCGCATGCGGGCGGCAGCACTGGGGCCTTCGGTGGAGCTTCCTATGGGGCCACGAAACGCGTGAGGGGTGTGCCGAATTGGGTGTGCGGGACGCATGCGGGCGGCAGCACTGGTGCCTTCGGCGGAGCTCCCTATGGGGCCACGAAGCGTGTGAGGGGTGTGCCGAATTGGGCGTGCGGGACGCATGCGGGCGGCAGCACTGGGGCCTTCGGTGGGGCTCCCTATGGGGCCACGAAACGTGTGAGGGGTGTGCCGAATTGGGTGTGCGGGACGCATGCGGGCGGCAGCACTGGGGCCTTCGGCGGGGTTCCCTATGGGGCCACGAAACGTGTGAGGGGTGTGCCGAATTGGGTGCGGGACGCATGCGGGCGGCAGCACTGGGGCCTTCGGTGGGGCTCCCTATGGGGCCACGAAACGTGCCGGCACGCACTGGGGCCTTCGGTGGGGCTCCCTGCGGGCGGCAGCACTGGGGCCTTCGGTGGGGCTCCCTATGGGGCCACGAAACGTGTGAGGGGTGTGCCGAATTGGGTGTGCGTGACGCATGCGGTGGGGCTCCCTATGGGGCCACGAAACGTGTGAGGGGTGTGCCGAATTGGGTGTGCGGGACGCATGCGGGCGGCAGCACTGGGGCCTTCGGTGGGGCTCCCTATGGGGCCACGAAACGTGTGAGGGGTGTGCCGAATTGGGTGTGCGGGACGCATGCGGGCGGCAGCACTGGGGCCTTCGGTGGGGCTCCCTATGGGGCCACGAAACGTGTGAGGGGTGTGCCGAATTGGGTGTGCGGGACGCATGCGGGCGGCAGCACTGGGGCCTTCGGTGGGGCTCCCTATGGGGCCACGAAACGTGTGAGGGGTGTGCCGAATTGGGTGTGCGGACGCATGCGGGCGGCAGCACTGGGGGTGGGGCTCCCTATGGGGCCACGAAACGTGTGAGGGGTGTGCCGAATTGGGTGTGCGGGACGCATGCGGGCGGCAGCACTGGGGCCTTCGGTGGGGCTCCCTATGGGGCCACGAAACGTGTGAGGGGTGTGCCGAATTGGGTGTGCGGGACGCATGCGGGCGGCAGCCTTGGGGCCTTCGGTGGGGCTCCCTATGGGGCCACGAAACGTGTGAGGGGTGTGCCGAATTGGGTGTGCGGGACGCATGCGGGCGGCAGCACTGGGGCCTTCGGCGGAGCTCCCTATGGGGCTACGAAACGCTGTACTGGGCGGGTGAAACGCAAGGAAGAGGGGGAGGAGGGAGGAGGAGGAGGAGGAAGGAGGAAGGAAGGAGACGCGGGGCACCGTCTCTTCAAAACGAGGACCCAACACCACAGGATGGTTGGGAAAAAAGCGGCGCGATCCTCTGACCCCGTCTGCTCGGACCCCATATGGGAGGCCTCCAGCAAAAGACCGCCAGCCTCAGGTGGTGAGCGGCGGCACGGGCGCGCTGGGCGTCATGGTGGCGCAGTTCCTGGTGGAGGAGCCTGGGACAACGTTAGGGGGGGATATCCTGAGATCCGACGTTGCGACACAAGTGCACCATCGCTCAAAATCACAACTGCAGCCCTTTACCAGATCTTTCTGCGGCATTCTTCGAGCCGGATCGATCCGTGAGGTCCCCAGGGCCCGAAACGGGGCAAACACGCCAGGCGCGAGGTTCGAGGTTCGAGGTTTTCGGGCGTTTTCGTCGGTCCTCGGCGGCTTTCGAGCCTCGGAATGCCTTCAGCGGCGGCGCCTCGCCGACAGCGTTCTCGGGGTGCCAGGATCGTCCCGAACGGCCGCTGGGTACCGAAGTATTGACCCGAATACCAGGCGGCGGGGATCCCCGGGGAGACAAGGTTCAGGGGGGAAATGCGTCGACCCGCAATAGCCCGTTCCATCGCCGATGCGGGGCCTGATAGCCCACCCCGCCCGGGAACGTCCGGTGACGTTCTCGAGAGCTTATCGCCTATCGTTTGTTAGCAAATCATGGACTTTGTGTACCCTCGTCATCATATCTTCAGAGTGCGCTAGCGTCGAGTAGCGTCTGATAATCGATGAGATAGCGCTGATTTAGCACTGGTTTGCGTCGATCAGCTTCGATTTTATGTCGATCAGCGTCGGCTAGCGTCGATTAGCGTCGATTCGCAAGAGCCGACAAGATGGTATGGGCGGCTCCCATGAGTTGCCACCGAATATCGACGACGTATCGCCGATTCGAGGTCGGTGTCCCCCCCCCCTCCCCTGCACCAGCCCCCCAGCCTGCGATATCCGACGCTGCGACAGCACGGCAGCATCGCAAACAGAACCTCGAGCAGAGCCCTGGACCCAATCTGTGTGTGGTGCTTTTCGAGCCAGGCTTAAGTCGGGCACGTCCCTCTACAGGAGGAAAACTCAAACATAGTCAAAAATAGTCTGGGGATGTTTTTTAGATGATTTTTGATGTTTTTGATATTTGGGGAATCTTTTCAATTTTTTCCACAATCTGCCTGTAGGAGGACATGCCCGACCTAACCCTGGACCCAATCTGTGTGTGGTGCTCTTCGAGCCAGGCCGATCTGTGATTGTCCCGGGATCTGGCGAAAACGGCCAGTGCGAAGACATTGCAACGCCCAGGCCCCATACCCCCGACGTTATGATTTTGTCATAGCGTCGACGCCCATGAGGTCTCGACCCATCCCCGGGGACCGGTTCTTTTAATTCTGAGTAGCTCTTGGACGCTCCCGAGGACCAGTCAGGGCTCCCCGGGGCCGAAGCTAGCGAAACGCTTGTCGCCGTGATTTTTTCATAATTCGAGGGGGCCTGGGATCTCAGGGAGCATCGTCCCAGACCCCCGACGTTAGATTTTTTTCACAACGTCGACCCTCAGAGGGCTAGACCCATTCCCCTTGACCGGTTTTCCATCCTGAGTCGCTTCTGACGGTCCCGAGGGCCGGTGAGGGCCTCCAGAGGCCAGGACACACCTCCCGTCACAATTTTTTTTGGTATTGCCCGAGGGGGTTTGGGGTTCCCCCTCGAGGAGGGGTCCAAGTCCCTCTGGCTGCTCTCGCGCAGCGGCAGGCCGCCCGCGGAGGTGCGCGAGCGCTGGGAGTGGCTGCAGGCCTCGAGCACCAGCGTGGCGGTGCAGTCCTGCGACGTCTCGCGGCCCGAGTCGGTGCAGGCCCGCCCAGCCGGCAGGGTCCGATCGAGAGTCATCTGAGGCCCCCGGGAGACCAGGACTCGAAGAAGACAAAAAAGGCATGACCAGGAACTTTTGTGGCGCTCCGCTCGGGTTCCTTGGATCCGCGCTGGGGCCCCCCTTGGCGGCGCCTCCGGCGCCGCCCCGGGCGCGCTCCGCGCGCCAGGGAGGGAGGTCCAGCGCGGATCCAAGAACTCCGCGCGGACCGCCAAAAGCTAATGTTTATGCACTTCTTTTGTTCCTCGAGAGACCAGGACACAGACTAACTAGCCAGGACATTGACAAGTCGGGGAAACGACATCCTTTCCTGCAAAGTCAGGTTTGATCGTCCAGGGCAGTTTTTTTGCTGCATTGCAGGAATCGGGTCTCTGTCTGGGTCTAGTGGTGTTTTGCAGGCTTGTATGGACTTTGTCTGGGTTTCTTCCCCGAATGTTGCAGTGCAGTTTTTTTCTCGTGGCTCCGTTAGGACAAACATTTGGTTTCGAGGGATGTTGGATGTCGGAGACTGGCGTGTTCGGGTTTACGGGGGGCGGGCCTTCTCAGAAGGCTCTGAAGGTCTCAGGCCTTTTGAGAAGTTTTCCAAGCCTTTGCCGCAGCCAGGTCTGAGCGTCGCCCCCTGGATTTCTGATTCTCTTTTGCACTTCGGACTCCTTTTTATCGAAGACGCCTACGGCGAATCACCGCCGCTCCCCGCCTTCTAGAATCGCCCATGTGGCCGAGCGCTGTGGCAAAATCTCTGCCAAGGTATCGGCCCATGTGTTCCCCCAACCGTTGTGGAGACCCTTCGGGGAACACTTGGGGGAGGATGGCGGGGAAGATCAAGAGGAGGCGGAGGAGGAGGTGGAGGAGGAGGAGGAGGAGGAGGAGGAGGAGGAGGAGGAGGAGGAGGGAGGAGGAGGAGAAGGAGGAGGAGGGGGCATCTTGGGAGCCTCTGGGGACACTCTTGGGTCCTTCTGGGAGCTTCTTGGGAGCCTCTTGCACCTTTGGGGGCTGCTTTGGGGCCTCTTCGGCCGTCTTGGTGGGCTCCTGGCCCGTCTGACGCCGTCGGAAGCCGTCTTGGGGGCCTCTCTGGGCCGACTTGGGGCTTACTTGGGGTGCTCCAGGGCCGTCTTGGAGGCCATCTTGAGCGTCTTGGAGGCCTCTTGGGCCGTCTTGGGGGCTTCTTGGGGCCGTCTTGGGCCTCTTGGGCGATCTTTGGGGGCACTTGGGCCACTATAAAGTGAGCTGGGGCAAAGGCGAGAGATAGCGAGCGTTTATCCGCGGCCGTTTGTGTTAAAGCGGCCGGCCGCCAACATCATCGCGAGGCACACTACTTGCCATCGAGACCGAAAACATCTTCGCTTGAGATGGCCCGTCGCTCCCGCGACGACCTCCTACGTCTGGTTCTACGGTACAACAGCTGGAGCTGGGCTTAGCTGCTGGTTGGGCCTTCCAACCCCCTTCAAACTTGGTAGCGGAGCTGGCTTATGGTGGTCAGTTCATGCTCTATTCCTCACCATCCACGGCACTATCTGGTGGACTACTGACATTGTGGAACTTCAGGGTGCAGTGGGTCTGCGCGGAGGAATGTACATAACTACGCAGAACCGCAAGGACACTTGCAGTGCTAGCTCCGCTCTCGCGGAGGCCTCATACCTGAGTCCTACCTCCCTGCGCTACTACACTCCTGAAGTCCACCCTCCTACTCCAGTCGGATTTTTTTTTTGAAGACACCATGCATGGCAACATGCGATACGACATTGTGCCGCCTCCACCCCCACGCAGGCTTACAACAAAACACCACAAACCCCAGCCACTAATATCTTACCTCGACCTACGGGGCCACTGGATTGGTATTGCTATCTTTGGCTTTCTATGGGTCGCTATCGGGTGTGCTGTGGGGCGCATGCGTGGCGGAGACGACACAAGAACAACCGGCCCCCGCTGGGACCCGGCCGGTCAAGTACCTTTCCGCGAATTCGTTCGAGAGGTACATGCCTGGAGCATTGCAGCGCGGTTTGGGAGGCCTCGCGCGGACCATGGCCATGAGAGTTCCCCTCGCAGTCATCAATTTTGGCGTTAACATTGGTGGTCGCCACACCGATGGCGTCACTTACATCGTGTTCCTCCTTAGCACGAAGTTCGAGAACTTAGAGGAGGAACGCCAACTTAACTCGGGAACGGCTCTCATTGACTTTCGCGTCCATGCGGGAGAACAGATCGACCAGACATTCGCGCGCTTCGAGATAGCCCGCTACGAGGCTGATACGGCAGGCTTTAACATCCCCAACCTCCACATCCTAACAGTTATTCTGTTCAGGGCATTACCAGTGGGAGCGCCGCGTGCACAACAACTCCTACAGCCACTCAACCACCAATTGCCGAGGAACCAACGACAACTTTATGCTTTACTTGAACGCATTAGGCCATCTGCCCACATTGCTGAGCGAACCCCTGTCAATATTGGTGGTATTTTTAGCCACGGTCACCGCGCCGAAACTTTTCATATGGGCACTAATGCAGGGCAGCCTGCTACAAATGTCTGGAATGATGATCCGCGACCTACAGAGACCACCGCTCTATTAGCCCAAAACGGTGGGCCGCCTACGGGGTCGCAAGACTCCTGGGCTAGATATCAGGGGCCGTCGGCAACGGCGGCTTCCGCGCAAGCCACTACCCTAGTAGGCTCAGCGGGGCAGCCCTCTGAGTCCGACTTTGACTCTGTAACAGACGCCGACGCGCCATCCGATGACAGAACTGGTGCCCTAGATTATTCCGACATGCTTGCGTATCTCACAGAAGGGCAACAGGCGCAATGGTTGTTTCTAGGATATCAGAAACACAAGCGCCGTTGGAGACGATTTATGAAGAAACCAGTTGGTCAGATACGACGTACTATCCGATGGGCGTTTCGAGCAAAGGGTAAGGACCGAGGCGAGGGTAAAGGCATGCGGCGGCGACTGCTTGGCAGAGGTAGGTTGGCATTCCTGGCATCTCCTACTGAACTACAATATGAAGAGTTATTTCTGGGGACAGGTAGGGGCCGTGGGCGCGCCCCAGGAAACGGTGATGGACGTTGGGGCAACCCGAAAAACGCTAACGGTAAAACCATTGAATGTGACATCTGCCGTAGCACGCAATATTTCCGCCGTGAATGCCCCCGAGGCGATGGGAGAGGCAGGGGTCCGTCGATACATTTGGCTCAAGCCGATTCGGACATGCAGTATGTCGACTGGGAGGCGCGATTGGCCGACCCTGCAGATAATCCTACCGCTGTTGTCCACTTCATGGCTGCCCAGTATCTAAGTGCCCGCGTGCCCCGCGAGAGATGCGCCGATGAGCTCTTCGAGGAAGTTTATGTTGACCACGACGGGATTAACTTGGAAGACTGGCTGGGCATGCCCATCGCGGGGCAACCTGCGCAGATCGAATGTGTCGAGGAATTCCATATGCCCGCCGGCGTAGACGACGATATGGCGGGGGCACCCGCGGAGTCTGAAGCTGCAGTTCCAGCGACAGAAGAGGAGGTGCCATTGATGCTTCGTCCTCAGGTCATTGGTAACCTTGTCGGCAGAGAATCAGATGATGATGATCTTCCGCGGGGAAACCCGCGAGGTGCTGGCGACCTTTCCGAGCGCATTCAGTGCGAACTTTGACATGGCGAAGACCATCGCCTTACGTTCGTGGCTCATGGGCGGTCTCCGAGCCGCCGCGAGCGGTCCGCTAGTCGCCGAGTCTGGAGACGCGTGACTCGCACAGATGACGACGAAGGCGACTGGGGGGCTGAGGGCCGTCGCATCCAGCGTCACAGTCGCGGTTGCTCGCGCGGGCACTCGCGCGCGCGCTCCAGCGGCGCCCGGCGCCCTCATCTTCTTGACGCGAGGATCCCGAGTGCTCCGCCGAGGAGGGGGCGCTCGCGGGGAAACCCGCCGCATATCGAGAACCGTCTAGCTGTGCCCGAAGCAAGAGGCGCACAGCGCCTCGTCAGCTATGAAGATCATGGGCTGGCCCGCCAGTGCATGCCCCCCAACGCGATGGAGTGCTGGCTCGACTATGGCCGGGCCGAGCATGGCATTCGTCACTGGTATTCACCTCGCAACGTCACGCGGGGTGATGATGGCAAAGTTGCTCGCGCCAACAGGAACAGGGGCACCGAGGCGCAGGCTGACCTTGGGACGTGGGACCTCAAGGGGGCCCTCATTACTGACCGACATACCTACTGGTGCGTTGTTTGTCTTTGCGAACATTTTGCCGACCGCAGACCGCTGTGTCCAATGGGGCGACCGTCCAGGGGCCCCAACTTTGAGGGAACTCCGTGGGTCTGGTCTCATGGAGATGGTCTGGGTCGCAGGGTGGATCCGACTAGTCGCCCACCTGCAGAATGCTTGACTTAAGCTGACTACCAGCCGATTGCTGAATGCGAAGTCAAGCGCGTCGAGCGAGTTCTGCAGCACCTCGACATAAATCACCGCTTCAAAATACACAATCGAGAATATCATGAGGGGGTAGGTGGCGCACCGCATGCGGGGCAAACCGCCGCTTCTTCTTCTCATGGAGGTGCTGCCCATCCAGGGGGCGACGAAGGGGCTGGTCGTGCGGTTCTTGCCGAATCGGAGGGCCCCGCTGAGGCCGCTCCTGCCGAGTCCGACCCAGAGTCCGATTCGGACTGCAGTTCCGGGGCGGGGAGCTCCCACAAAACTGTCACGATAATGCGTGGCCATCAACTTGTATCACAAGTGTGGATCATGCTCCAAGTACGAACGTCGCTTACAATTGCAGGGAAATAAGCTGGATAACTACCCCTGTAGTGCGATGGTGCGATGGGTGAGCGCTGACAGATATGATCTGAGTTGCAAAAATATGGCCGAGATCAAGAACGTGGCACTTTGGAGGCCAATTGCGCCCCCTGCCCCCGATGCGGGGGAACCCGCGGCACCGTCTCCAGCGGGGGCGCCCGCAGAGGAACGGCCGATGGGGGCCGCCGAAGGACCCCGGGCCCCCCG